GCATTTAGTAAGGACCAAACAATTTCTACATAGTTCCATTCGTCTACAACAGCTCATAGCACAGCATTCAATTCTTCATTATTGAATGTTTCTCTTAACCGACGAAAGAAGACAAGAAGGGAATTGATATTCCATTGCACGTTCCAGCAGCTGGTTTAGAGCGAAAATGTGGTCAAAAAAAAACTGGTAAATCTTTGCCCGTTCCAGCTGTTTACTGGGCGACTCAGTCACCTCAATAATTCTTTTATAGTTCACATTATTCTTTCAGTCATTCAATTCTTTGACCAATTTCATTTATTCAATTAATTCCCTGAATTTCGTTGATTTTTCCCGCCAACAAGTATCGATCTTTTGCCCAGCAGCAACACAACTGCACGCAATCGCAACTTTCAAAAAAACAAATACTATGATAAACAAATATTACAGCAAAGAATTTTTCAGCTAAAGGCAAATCAACCCCATCCCCTCTTCTCATATCTGCTCTAAATGAAAGGCAAAATCCCACAAAAGGATTCTGAGTGGGAGCACATGCCTATCAACCAAGCTAACAATCAGCAGCGTTGTCTATGGCTCCTTCTTTCGATAATTATTGACAAAAGGCTGATGTCGGCTTCACTCATTATTACTAAAAAAAACATCAAAATGTCCAAGCTGTGTTTGGTAATTATTCAGAAACGTACTGCAGGTTTTAAAGTGGGCAAAATACAAAATTAGGATTAAATAATTAAACCTCTTTGAGCGATTCGAGTTGCAACGTTGCATCATCCAGTAGAGAACGCAATTCAGCCGTTTCGCTGCTCAATCTTTCATTTTCCTCTAACTGCTGGAAAAAAAAGAAAAAGAATCAAAATTATTTCATATAAGAACACAAAAAAAAATTCTTATGCTATCTCATTTTAACTTTTGGAACCAAATAAGCATTACTTTATCAACTAGGCTTTTCCTGCATGGATTTGCAATCCAACTAATTTTTTCAAGCTCACATGACCAATTTTACAGCATTTCTGAGTTTTTACTTATAATTAGCACAGTAGTGACTTTTAAAATACAATCTTAAAAGCTCCAAAGCAGCAATCTGGACAATCATAATTGCTAAGCAGATGTTACCTTATCATATTTTTCCATTTGTTCTCGAAGCAAATCCTTAACTGAAGCGAGTTCTGCTTGTAACTGACGCATATCTGTTTCCGCATTACTACTCGATTCTGTGGCGGAACTGCTTTTCTTATCGCCGTACTAAACAGTAAATTTAATATTACCGAATAATACTTAGTGAATATCAATCAGATCGAATTTGTTTTTTGAGAAAAAATCCTGGAACATAATCTTCCTGAAACCAGTAAAATTACCGGATACAGAAGAAATTTTTACATTTGCGAACTGGTAAAATAAAATCAAAATGGCGGAAAAATCAATAATCAGGCAAATTTACCCTCTTTTCAATAAAAGCTTCAATAAATGAATAATAGTTTTAACAATAGTTCCAATAAATGAACTGTCTTAAAAACAGAAATATATAATAACAAAACTGAATTATTGGAGGCAAATTTTTTTTACTGAATTATTAGATGCAAATTTTTTTAAGCAAATAATTTTTTTTTCTTTTAAATTTTCCTAATAAACAAACTACAACTTCATAATTACTGAACTCTTTTTTAAAAATACTTAATTAGACTTTAGGCCCTGCAGCTGAACGCATCAATGCAGCCAATTGTAATTTTAATATTTTACAAAAACAACAATGCGGATGATCTTAAAATACTTTAGAAGAAGCGTTCAAACAAAAGTACCAAGATCAATGTTCAGATTTAACACTTAATATTTTCTGTGAATATGAGAAACTCACTTTAGCCAATTCTAGTCGCACTCCTGACTCTTCTAACTGTTGAGTTAGATTTGAGCACTGCACTTTCAAGTCATCACATTCCTGAAAGCAAGCGACAGAACGGAATGAAAAACTTTACTAATAACTATAAAGTTTAGGAGAAAACGACGAGAGATTTCAACGGCCGAGGCATTCAGAGCTGCGCAAAAATAATGCGTTTAAATTTGAATTTAACACCAGCAATCTAAGACTATTCAGGCTATCAATGTATCATCCGTTAGTGATATTACTAGGACGGTTCCACACGATAAGCGCAGTTATGTCAAACACTTCGACCCTGGGCTTCATGCCTCCAGTTAGTACCCAGTTGATGAATGCAGCATTTGGTGAAAAATAGGGAGACTGGAATTCGAGCCAGGCAACCAAGACAGGAACAAAACAGAACTTGTGCAACAGCGATCAACTCATTTTAAAATATCCAGAAGGATTCCGGTGGGCCCAATAATATCCAAAAAACTTCCAAAAAATTGGAAAGACCAAAAATATTTGCAAAAAATTTCTATAAGTACCGGATGAATTTTCAACGTCATCGAGGGTAATTAAAAGCTGTAGTGAAAACTGTAAGCCAACATGAAGTGTATTGAAAGAATGAAACTAAATCTCGCTTCCGGAAAATTAACAAGCCTCA